ATATGTACATATATTACTATAAAAATACACTTATAATTAAATTACACACGTGTATATATATATATATATATATAATATATAATATATATAATAACTATATATATTGTATATAAATATTATTATAAAATACAAATAATAAGTCATTTTAATTAAATAAAAACATGTAAAAATAATAATAAAAATTAAAAAAATATATATATCTATATGACATTTTATTCTAACTGTATTTTGATAGTAATATATATATATATATATATATATATATATTTATATCAAAATACACTTAGAATGAAATTGTATATATATCTATGTATATATAAATAAATACAAATAATACGAAATATTCATATGTCCATATGCAAAATTACATAAATAATTATACTTTCTATGACACCCTAAAACCTGTACATTGGGGGTACTGTTTTACTCTGGAGACTTCGCTGAATACAAATATTAGTGATTCAAAACAGTAAAACATATCACAGCGATGATATTGTCAGTGAAAGTGACTTTTTTTTGCATTTTTCACACACAAACAGCACTTTTAATGATGATATAATTGTTGTGATATGTTTTCCTGTTTTGAAACACTAATATTTGTTTTCAGCAAAGTCTCCCGAGTATAACAGTACCCCCCATGTACAGGTTTTATAGCGTTTTTGAAAGTTACAGGGTCAAATATATGGGTCAAATATTTTTACATTGAAAAAAGCCAGGTTGGTTACGTTGCCTTTGAGAGCGTATGGTAGCCCAGGAATGAGGATTACCCCCATGATGGCATACCATTTGCAAAAGAAGACAACCCAAAGTATTGCAAATGGGGTATGTCCAGTCTTTTTTAGTAGCCACTTAGTCACAAACACTGGCCAAAATTAGCGTTCAATTTAGTTTTTTACTTTTTTCACACCCAAACAAATATGAATGCTTACTTTGGCCAGTGTTTTCGACTAAGTGGCTACTAAAAAAGACTGGGCATACCCCATATTGAATACCCTGGGTTGTCTACTTTAAAAAAATATGTACATGTGGGGTGTTATTCAGAGATTTATGACAGATAATAGTGTTACCATATCACTATTGATAAATTTTAAAAATGTATGTTTTGAAACCGCAATATCCTACTTGTACCTATTGCCCTATAACTTGCAAAAAAAAGCAAAAAAGCACATAAACACTAGATATTTTTAAACTCAGGACAAAATTTTGAATCTATTTATCAGTTTTTTTCATTCACTTTTGTAGATGAGTAAAAGATTTTTCAAGTAAAAGTTAAAAAATTTATTTTTTTCAATTTTTCATCATATTTTTTTATTTTTTTTAAATTAAATTACATGAGATTATATAAATAATGGTATGTAAAGAAAGCCCCTTTTGTCCTGAAAAAAACAATATATAATTTGTATGGGAACAGTAAATGAGAGAGCGGAAAATTACAGCTAAACTCAAACACCACAAAAGTGTAAAAAGAGGCCTGGTCGCAAATGTACAACATCGCAAAAACAGTCCAGTCCTTAAGGGGTTAAAGACAGCTGACAAGATGATAACTTTTGTTTGGTAATAAAGCCACCTCTTTGGGTTGTGTAACTAATACACATCATGTAGTCCAGTTGACCGTATTTCTTTATTTAAAGGGAACGACCATTCAAAAGTTCAAAAGTTCCAAAGTTCCAACTTCCAAAGTTGCACCATTTTGGTGGGTATTACACCTTACTGCATATCAGCAATGACATACATTGTATCCTACAATCTAGTATTTGCCTTTTACATGCTGTGTATACCATGATTACCATTTACAAGCAGGTGCCAGTATGATTTTGACCGAAAAATGGTTTTCAGCATGGTTTTTTAGTTAGTCGTCTCAAATTGATAGTCAATAAATGCTTATTTCTTAGCTCTGACTAGCTTTATTAAAACTAGCACATTAAATTACACATTTTCAATTTGTGTTTTTGCTGCAATTGTCAACCACAAAGGATACAAGGATTTTTATTTGATTCTTAGAAATTCAGGTCTATGCTAAGTCACTACCTATTTGTCTCAACCTTCATAGCAGTGATTCATTTAGTTCTTTGCAAAGATTTGATGATCTTTGAATATATTCCTGTAAAGATGTCCAACATTACTTGGCAGTTTTCTATGTTGTACACAAAAAACGTGATCAAACTCAATGTAATTACTGGAATACATCATTCTTATTTTTCTCCAGGGGGATTGTATTTATTCTTAATAATTGTATTTATATCCTGACAGATGATGAATCTTGACTGATTACATTTTTAGGAAGAATAGACTACATAGAGCTCACAGTTGCTCAGAATTGGTATAATTTGTCATCTGTCAGATTATCTCGTTTGCATATGGCAAACAGCCAAAGGTAGAACAAGGGAAGACCCATATTTATAAATAAATAAATAAATATGAAGTCATCTACAATCAGATGTGTTTGTTTTAAGGATAAGAACATGTTTCTTTCCAACCTGCTCCTTACAAATGATCTCATCCTAGAGTAGGGGTGTCCAAAAGGAGGATCTCCAGGTGGTTTTAAACAACTGCTTCCATGAAGCTTTGTGATTTTAAAGGCATTCAAAGCATCATGGGAGTTGTAGTTTGAAAACATATGGGGATCTACCTTTTGGGCACCTTTGTCCTAGAGGAACTGAAGATGATGAGGGCTTCAGCTGAACCTGATTTATGTAGTCTGCTAGATTTTTACGGCTGTTTTTCCGTTATCTTTTCATAACTTACATTATGTAACTCCTCCGACTTCATAGACCATTTATTACTAATACAATAACGTATAGATTGACATTAATTGTTTTAAAGGGAACAATCTCCATTTCATAAAACATTGAAAATCACCTATAACGTGATTTTTGCTGCATTTTCTTTTAAACTTATTTAAAGATTTAGCAAATAGCAATATAATCCATTTTGGTTTAAAATCTGCCAGGACACCAAGTGCAAATAAAAAGAAATTGAAACATTGTTTTGTTTCCTCTCTTCTTTTTCTGTTGCTGAATGCCAATTGCAAAAGACAGGGCAATGATTGACGGGGAACTAAGATTGAGTAGCCCTGTCACAGGAGAAAGTGTTGTGGATTTTTACATTTTTATTTTTCACCCCTTACAAACACATATTAAATAATGCATAAGTAAATATGGTATTAATAATCATGGGAAGGGTTGTTTCAAATTTAAAATAATAAATACAATTTATTTATTCAAATGTTATCATATGATCAGGTCTGGGACTGTTCAATGAAAGTTAATCATGCACTGTAGCTGAATATATGCATGCACATATTGTCAGGACGATTGGTTATTTATTCATCCCAAACATTAGAAAAGAGAACATAAACGACCAAAGATATTCTGACCATTTTATAAATTGATTGTGCCACATGTGGTGGTTCCCGTATTTGCATGACAGCCTATGGCCTGATATTATATAGTATCAAGGGTTTACAAAAAAAAAGAAAAAAAAAGTGAATAGATAGATGATAAGTAAATTAAAAATGTGTGGTAGAAGACATCCAGTGAGCCACAGTCATTTTGGTTTGTTGGTTAGCACTCTGTAATGGTTATGATGCTAGAAGTGCTTATGCACCCTACCAGAGTAAGTAATCAAACTATTTGTAAAATTAGCTGGGGTCTGCCAGGTGCCCTCACTGTCACCTTCAGTTGAGCAAAAAGCTCCTGCTAGAAGCTTTTGTTAGTGTCACTAAGTTACGCCCTGATAAGCTTGGGCAGCTCAATTGCCGAGACCATCAGATGAGTACTTGCAGCCTCCTGCATCTCTGGGCTTAGCTCAGTGCTGAACTTCCTGGAAGCACAGGAAATGGTAACAAATGCCCAGCACCAGTGGCGTACATACCAGGGTCGCAGGGGTCGCGGTTGCGACCGGGCCCGGTCCACCAGGGGGCCCGGCCGCCCCTGCGACCCGGTATGTAGCCACAGGGCCAGCCTCTTCCACTGGGGGGCCCAGGAGCCGACCACCCCAGGGCCCCCCGAGGCTGGCCCTGCTGTCACACACTCCTGGGCGGGTGGCCGGTCGGGCAGGCGGGCACGCGAGGGAGCACTCAGTGCTTCCTCTTCAGCTCCCTCGCGCACCGCACTGATACCGGAGCCGGAAGATGACCTTCCGGCTCCGGTATCAGTGCGGTGCGCGAGGGAGCTGAAGAGGAAGCACTGAGTGCTCCCTCGCGTGCCCGCCTGCCCGACCGGCCACCCGCCAGCTGGGGTCAGCAGGGCCACTGGACCCCAGGGAATCCCCCCAGCACTCCGAAAGGTAAGGAGGCTGGGGGGATTACATTAAAAAAAAAAACATGTGTGTGAGTGTTAGAGTGTTAGAGTGTGTGAGTGTTAGAGTGTGAGAGTGTGTGTGTGTGTGTGTGGGAGTGTTAGAGTGTGTGTGTGTGTGTGTGAGTGTGTGTTAGATTGAGTGTGAGTGTTTGAGTGTGAGTGTTTGTTAGATTGAGTGTTAGAGTGAGTGTGTCTGCTAGTGAGTGTTAGTGTGAGTGTTAGTGTGTGTGTCTGCTAGTGAGTGTCAGTGAGTGTTACTGTGTGTGTCTTACTGAGTGTGTGAGTTAGTGAGTCTGTTTGATGTCTGTTAGTGTGTGTTTGTCAATGAGAGTGTATGTTTTGTAAGTGAGTGTGTATGTATGTCTGTCGCTGAGTGTGTCTCTGTCAGTAAATGTGTGTGTCTGCTAGTGAGTGTTAGTGTGAGTGTTAGTGTGTGTGAGTGTTAGAGTGAGTGTTAGTGTGTGTGTCTGCTAGTGAGTGTCAGTGAGTGTGTTACTGTGTGTGTCTTACTGAGTGTGTGTGTGTTAGTGAGTCTGTTTGATGTCTGTTAGTGAGTTTGTGTTTGTCAATGAGAGTGTATGTTTTGTAAGTGAGTGTGTATGTATGTCTGTCGCTGAGTGTGTCTCTGTGAGTAAATGTGTGTGTCTGTTAGCTAGTGTGTATGCGTCTGTAAGTGTGTGTGTGTGTGTGTCTTCAGCACTTACCTTTCTCCAGCGCCGGACTCCCTTGGCGCTGGGGATCCCTCAGCCTCTCAGCTCCGAATGCGACCGCATTCAAACCGCCCATAGGAAAGCATTACTCAATGCTTTCCTATGGACGTTCAGTGTGCTCCTGTAGCGGCTGTCAGTGAGACAGCCACTAGAGGCTGGATTAACCCTCAGTGAAACATAGTAGTTTCTCTGAAACTGCTATGTTTTCAGCTGCAGGGTTAAAACTAGAGGGACCTGACACCCAGACAACTTCATTGAGCTGATGTGATCTGGGTGTCTGTAGTGGTCCTTTAAGTGTGTGTGCATCTGCATGCACTGGCATACATACCGCGGTCGCATGGGTCGCAGCCCTGTAATCCCTGCGACCATGTGCTCGCCGCCATGTGTTACGGCCCGGCCCGCGCGCACGGGGGGGCCCACGGATCAGTTTTCGCACCGGGGCCCCATGGGTCATGTGTACGCCACTGCCCAGCACACTTTTAGAGCAATAGCCCATTGAGGAACCTGGTGGCAAAAAGAACGGACGAATACATTTTCTTCTGGAGGCAAAGGGGGATTTAGACCAGTACTAGATTAGTGTGCCCAGTAACCTTGATACTGTGATTGAAGGAACCTCGGAACTAGTAGTTACACATTTGCAAAATGGGATACAGGGAAATCTCATTCAATTAAACCATCAATTAAGTTTTTGTTGATTGCCACTTACAAACTATAGGAAAACAATAAAATTAGTTCAACCTTATTTTGGAGAATACGCTTCCTGTAGGAGAAAAGATGGGGAGAAAGAACAATAAATCTTTATGGACAACCAGACATTTCTTGTAATAGTCGACATAGTTCATAATAATTAAACAGGAAAAATGTATATGTTACTGATGGTGTGACATATTTGCTGCTTGTTTAAAAAATGATGCAATATAGTAAACAAGTGAGGGCCTCTACAAAGAGTTATCATCATGTATTAAGACAAAAATATATTTTTATATAGCAACATTTTAAACTTTAAGAAAATTAAAAGATACATCTTCTCAGGCTTATCCAAATTGTGTGGAATAAATAGCATTACAAGTCTATGGAATATATTTATATGAATAAATATAAAAGGTGGACTTGATTATACAGTCAGGGATACGGCAACCCTGATATTTAAGTGAATTCTAGAGTTGGTGCATAAACCAAATGAGCTCCCTATGATGCTTTTCCAGGACAAACTTGAAAAATAAATAAATGATCAAGGCCAGGGAAAAAGCTCTCCTAGATTGCTATATGATACAGAGGATAAATATATAGGAAATGAGATTTCCATGCTTGTAAATACAAATCAGCAAAGGTAGTGGGCACGGAGAGAGAATCTATTAGTGTAATGTTTGTCTGATTTCACATTACATGCTCTGCCATGATGAGCTGCAAATATGAACAAATTGATATACATCTGACAGCACTATCTAGAAATATTTTTCACTCTACAATGCATTAACAAAACAAACTGAAACATATCATAAATACAAATAAATATATATTTAAAATCAAGTTAAAAAAAAAAAAAAACAGCAAAAAACAAATCAAAACTTAAATTGTATAGTCAAGACCTTGGCTCCATTATACATGTAATTTTAGTACCATATAGTCATATTACACACAATATGTAGAAGGAATACAGCTTTTAGAAAAAAATGCTTCCATATTATCAAGTTGTCTGCGGTTGAGTTTGCTCAGAACACAACCCAAGATGGGTAGGATATGGTGTCAGAGCCATCACATAAGGTGTTAGGGAATTTGATACTGGACACTATAGCTCACCATGATTTAGTACTTTGTTAAAAACAACTATATTTTTTTGCTGGTTGAGCTATTGGATTACTCAACAGGATGTGTAAAGGGTAGCTGGTGCACATGAGCACTTGAACTTAGCAGACAGTGAAACACAAACTCTGCAGTAAGAGGGAGACAGTATACCTCCTAACTCCTTCTCGGAATGCCATTGGGAGAGGGTAAAGGGGTGGGCATGTAATGTAATTGCATCATTGGATCTGTTCCAAAGATGGTAGAGACTTGTCCAGAAAGGATTTAGGTCCTCCTCAATTGCTGGCAGGTGAGCCTGGAATAAATGCATGCCCGGCTATATAACAATCATCTTAGACCAATCCACAGAGGGCAGACTTTGCAGGGAGCACTCTTGCAGTGCTATCTTCAGGATCCTAGTGCCATGAACACCAGCGGCACCAGGGAACTAAGTTTGAAAAGGACTAGAAAATCAGGACAGTTGGAGGGTCTGTATTACATAGGAACACAGGTAACACAAACTGCAACAAACAGGAATAGTTGTATAAACAGTGCTTCAGTACAGACAAAAGTGAGGATTTAGAAGTGGGAAGGTTGTGTATCAAGATCCACAATTCCTTGACCCGACTAGCACCAATACCATATAAGTCGTAAAGAAATGATGTGGACATTGCTTGTATCTGTATCACATCATTACAAATTTGATAGTTATATGAGAGCTTGTATAAATTGCAGCGATTTGTACCTAAGACTATGCTGGCAGGGAGAAAAAGCAAAAGCTGCATGAGTGATAATGAGGAAGGAGACAATCAAACCAAGCCTGAAGGACAAGAGATGCTAAATTGAGTAGCATTGCACCTATTTCTGGTTGGCAGTCACCTCCAGAGAGGTAAAGATAACAACCAATTTCACAAAAGGAGAAAGTCACAGTAAAAAAAACAAGGGATATACAACCAAACATAAATCACTAAAGTGAGTCAGGGATACCAGAAATCAGAACAGAAACCGAAAAAAAAAAAGAATAAAAAATAAATAAAATCTGTTAGCAGTGACCACAGTAGAGCATTTCAAGAATGAAACAGCTGGCTCATATACGGGCAGGTTGGTCAGGTCATTAGCCAGCATCAATGAGGAATCTCCATAATGTGTGGGACAGTTTACACAAGTGTGATGTGTTGGAATATGTGTATGTAACAGAATGGTAGCTACATGCATCATAACATCACACTTCTGTGGGAAGTGCCCCACAGAATGGTTGAGCGGTGACAGACATTAGTTGTCACCAGTGACCATGCATCTAGCAGGCACCATAATAACTGGACCCTCACACATTTGGCAACTACTATACACCATGTGTGGAGTTCTGTAAGTTAACAGGGTTAAAGAGAATATACACACGTACACTATATCCTAAAAGTCAAGCATGCAAGCATTTGGGCACATGCAGTAGAACCACAGGTGGTTGCATTGGCTTCATTTAATCTATGTATTTGTATAGTGCATAAATAATGCAAGTTTCGCTTCAATGCAGTTACTTATGCCAGTGCAAAGATTCTGGCATTAGCAGCCTGATCCTGTTGATAGATGTGGGGGTTTATTTACAGCTTGCAGAAAATATATTGGGTAAAATATGCTGCCTTTCCTTAGTGTGGTCACCTATAGCACAAGTTAAACGAACACTGAAGCAACATAACCACTACAGTGTGCTGTAGTTGTTATTGTGCCAAATACATGTACTTAATTCAATTTAAACGTATAGTAGAAACATACTTTGAAATATTTACAATGTATGAGAATACGTACAACAGGGCTGTGTTATCATTGACTAGGTTTAAAATAGTAATAGATAGTAAACGTCTGCACAGCGGAACAATTTGTTTTAAATCACTACTGCCAAAAAATGTAAAATAACAAAACACATTTTACATTTCGGGCGGTAGAATGTCTGCCTTAAGCCAGTTCAGCTCTGCTGAATTTTAAAAAACTCAAGAAAATGTTTCGAAATTACATGAAATTGGGCCATTAAGTTGACTACAAAATATATACATAATATAAATATATTGTGGTAAAATGTTTGGTAAGAACAGTGCCATGGACAGAGCTGACTGAGGTGAAGGATTTAGGAGGAGCTAGAAGTAGATTGATTCCGTTTAACAAGCAAGGGTGATCGTACTGCAACTAGAGTTCATCTGGCTCAGTGAGGGGGTGACAGAGGGCAGAGTGAGGGGGTGACAGGGGGCAGAGTGAGAATAGGAGTGAGTGACAGGGAGCTAAGTGAAGGGGAGACAGGGGGCAGAGGGAGGGGGGACAGAGGGCTAAGTGAGGGGGTGACAGGGGGCAGAGTGAAGAAAGGAGTGGGTCACAGGAGGCAAAGGGAGGGGATTACAGGGGGCAAAGTGAAGGAATGACAGGGGGCAGGATGACAGGGGGCTAAGTAAGGGGGTGATTGGTAGCAGTATGAGGGAGGGGTATATAAATACTTTTTTTCCCCTGGTGGTCCAGTGTCTTGGCTTCCTGGTGGTCCGGTGGGCTTCCTCTTCCATATTAGTCTGCCGCGTGCAGAGCTGCAGACCATGTAGTCTTGCGATCTCCAGAAGTCAGAGCGTAATCCACGGCAATGCTTGAATTGGCTGGAGGTCACAAGACACTTCACAGTCTGCAGCGCACACCCGGCGGAGCTGCAGACTGTAGGCGCTCTCCTCCCAGGGCAGACTGCTTGGAGGGGCCTCGCACCCAGCGGTCATGGACTGAGGACCCAGCATGTTTTTCTACCTTGTGGTGGAGGCCTTAGGCGGCTGCCTAAATCACCTAATTAGAGAGCCGCCTTTGTGCCTCTCCTTAAAATTTCAGCTTTCTTATACCTACAGCTCTCCACACACACCTTTTCCCTTCTTTCTTGTACTCAATCCAATTTCTGCTCATTCGTCCACCTAATCTGCTGCTATTGTTACAAATTATATTATCACATCTAATCAACCACTTGCTTGCTGACTTTTGCAACACATGTGAAACCCACCCACATACTCACTTGTGAAAACACAAGCTTACCCATTCCTACTTCAATCATCTCACCTTTCTACTTTTCTTAAACCTCATCTGACCTCCCTACCAATTCTCTGCAGGTGCCCCTTCGCCTAACTCTCTACTAATCCTTCTTCTACCTCTATCATAATTTATTCAAGAAGAGCCAGCAAATGCATTGGCTCATAACTACACTTGATTTTGCAGAGATGCAATGGGCTCAAGCTCAAGCTTAGTATATGGGTTCCTGTAGTTCCTGATCTGGGGATTGCAGTTCTCCTGCGCTTCCCTCTCTCAACCCCCTTGTACGATAAGTGCTAACAAAGGGTATGTATATTATATTGTGAGAAATGGTGGACGAGGAGAGTAACTAACATTCCTTTGTTACTGGTAACTTGTATATATGCAACATTTAAGACTCTCTG